TACCAATTTAGATATACCAAAAACTACACTGTGAAGATATACCAAGAACAATAAACATAAAAAGTAGCAGTTTATTCTTCAAACTTAAATTTGCAACACTGTGAATTTGTATTTTTTTTTGTTTTTTGGTTGAAGTAATGCAATTCATTCAAGTTTTAATTTGCAGAAGAATAATAGTTTCTGAAACTTTAAATCGCAACACGAAAATGAAAATCGCAACACGAAAATGATTATCGCAACGCGAATTTGACTATCGCAACGCAAAATGAAAATCGCATTGCGATAGTCATTCTCGGTTTCAAATAATAAAATTGAAAGAAACTTGAATGGATTGCATTACTTCAACCAAAAGACAAAACAAAGACAAATACTAACTTCACAGGGTTAAAGACTAAACAGTTTAGCAGTATTGGCAGCAATCGAATGAATATAATAAGCAATCTAAGTGAAATGGTTAATCTATTATTGAAAACACCAGTAAATTTATCATCAATTTCAATATGAAAAACCTAATAATAATGCAAAAATTTCAAAATAAAAATAATTAAAAAAACTAACCCTTGGTGGTTGATTTGGTTGATTTTCCATTTCTGATCGTGAATGATTTCGCCGGAGATGGAGACTGATATCGTCGGAGATGGGGACTGATTTCGTCGGAGATGGGGACGGATATCGCCTTAGAGAGTGAGAGATGGAGATGAGACTGAGTTGTGATTTAGGGTTTTAGGTTATGAGCTGCGATTACGGGATATACTGTGGACGATTCAGTGTTCCGATATATTAATATATTCGTGTTTGGAATTTGAAAAAAAATACGCGTTGGATACGAATGGCGCTATGTAAATCGCATTGCGATAGTCAGATTCGCGTTGCGATTTACGTATTCGCATTGCGATTTACGTATTTGCATTGCGAATTAGGAAAATCGCAACGCGAATTTGGAAAATCGCAATGCGATAGTCAGAATCGCGTTGCGAATCTGGAAACTGATTTGCGATACTGGAGATCGCGTTGCGAATTATCGATCGCATTGCGATTTAGTTAGTCATTTTGGCAAATCCAAAAAAAGTTGGTTAAAATCGTATATTATAAGGTATTTTTGGTCACTGAGATTATTTTCTCATTATTTTATATATATAGACATGTATGTATAAGTCGAACGTATGCAAATTTCAGTCTTTGGGCTAAAATGATCATTTTCCAGGGTTCAAATTCCACCCCTTTCCCCAAATTTGTAATTTATCAAAACAAATGCTCACTTTCATATTTGTCAAAGATCCATGGTAAAGCATGTTGTGATTTGGCTTTCTCTTCAGATTCATTTAATTAGTTATCCTCTTCTTGCTTCATTCTGTAGGTGCTGTTATGTACATAAAGAAAGAGTTTGATTTGGAGAGTCAACCGACTATAGAAGGCCTGCTTATAGAGATGTCTCTCATTGGAGCCACCTGCGTTACTATTGGCTCGGGAAACTTGGCAGACTGGCTAGGCCGTCGTCCCTTGTTAATCATATCATCTATGCTTTATTTTCTTAGTGGTATCGTAATGTTATGGTCTCCCAACATCAACGTCCTACTTTTAGCGAGACTTTTGGATGGAGTAGGAGTCGCTTTGGCTGTAACTGTGGTCCCAATCTATATATCTGAGACTGCACCATCAGAAATAAGGGGACTCTTAAATACTCTTCCTCCGTTTAATGGTTACATTGGAATGTTTCTTTCATATTGCATGGTTTTTGGAATGTCGTTTACAGCATTACCGAATTGGAGATTGATGCTTAGGGTTCTTTCTGTTCCCTCCCTTGAATATTTTGCGTTAACTGTATTCTTCATGCCTGAATCACCAAGATGGCTTGTAGGCAAAGGTAGAATGAATGAAGCAAAGAAGGTTTTGCAAATGATACGTGGCAGGGAAGATGTTTCAGGTTAGTTCGACTCCAGTCAATCTTTTAGGTTTGTGTTTTTGTTAATGAGTTTTTGTGTGCATATCAAAGGCTATTAGTCTTTGCCCACCATGGGCTGCATATGACGAATAATGACTCGTCATGTGGATGGTACTGATATTATTTAGATGAACAGTTGAGATGGCTTTGCTAGTTGAGGGGCTCGGTGTAGGAGGTGAAACGTCGATAGAGGAGTACATCATTACCCCCATCAATCGGGATTCTAGACTCCCTGATATATCTTCTGAAAAAGATAGAATCAAGTTACATGGGACTGAAGAAGGTCCTTCCTGGACCGCCAGACCTGTCACTGGACAGAAAAGTTTCGGATTTGGTGCTGTGCCTCAGCAAGCAAGCGTACAAAAAAGTTTCAGACCCGGTCTTGTGTCTCAGCAAGGAAGCATAGCTCAGAGTACTCTTGCGTATGTGGATCCTCTTGTCACCCTCTTTGGAAGTGTCCATGATAGGTATTCCGAAGCAGGAAGTGTGCACAGAAGTTCACTTTTTTCATTTGTTAGCAGCAGCATGTCTGGTTTGGTAAATCAAAGTCAACAAGAAGTTAGACCCCAAAGAGCCGAAGAGTCGGATGAGGAGAGTGTTATGAGAGAGAGTGAAGACGAGAAATCTGATGACTCTGATGACAATGTGCGGACTCCTTTGATCTCATGGCAGACCAGTGTGGATAAGGACATCGTTCCAACTGCCCAGGAAAGCATTGCAAGAATGAGAAATCCTAGTCAATTGCCTACAAATGCTATGGAATCAATGAGTAGCATGGGGATTTGCCTACAAATTGCTATGGAATCAATGAGTAGCATGGGGATTTGCCTACAAATTGCCTTCAAATCCTAGTCAATTAGCATGGAAATATTATGAGAGAGAAGGCCGAGATGGAAGAAAGGAGACATCAGTTCAAAGAATTTACTTTCACGGAGAGAGCATGACTGGATTTAGGCAGAGATCTGTAATGTCTTCGACTGCTGCTGATGTCCTTGGAGGCTCCGACAATTTCCATGCTGCTGCTCTGGTGAGTCAGTCAGCTATTTCTTCCAAGGATCTTATGAAGCAAGATCCGGTAGGACCAGCCATGGTTCATCCAGCTGAAACTGCAAAGGGATCAATTTGGAATGATCTTTTTGAACCAGGGGTCAATCATGCTTTAGTAGTAGGCATCAGAATTGAAATGCTTCAGCAGGTAATGTGGAGAACCTTGCCATATTGTTCTACTGGTCTGCTTCTTCTCTTTCAAATATCGACCCAAAATAACTCTTCTAACTTGTGTATGCAGAAATATCGAGAATTCTATATTGTCTTTTTGTTTCTCATCTTAAAATCATTTCCTTATTGAAGATCACTCTTCTCTTTTCTTCTTAAAACACAGTTCTCCGGTATGAGCAGCATTCTATACTACATTCCTTCAATTCTTGAACTGGCAGGAGTTGGAGTCTTGGTTCGAAAATTGGAATGAGTTCATCTTCTGCATCACTGCTCGTCAGCTGTATTACCACCTTGTTGATGCTTCCTAGTATAACCGTTGTCATGCGATACGTTGACATTTCTGGTAGAAGGTAAATGTATTCATTTTTCTTTTCGAGTTCTGTTGGAATGATAACGAGTCTTACCTTAAAACAATGGATATCTTGTGCAACGAGAAATTCAAAACACAAGATATCTGTACACTTTTCTTCTGGCGTAATTGCAGTTAGTGTCTAGTATGCCGAAAGTTAGCCCATAACATGGTGAAAAAGAACCGAGAAATACCAAAAGCTTCTCGGATTTTACTGCAACGGTCGAGATAATAATCTGGAATGTTAAGTTTATGCTTTTAACTAATTATATTTTAAACTGTTCTCTGATTCATATATGAGCTTTTAACACCGTAAAACTACCCAACTTTTCTTTTCATTATTGTTGCTTGCTTCCACTTTCTTCAGGTATTTATTACTCCTCACAATCCCGGTCCTGGCATTATCTTTTCTCAATTGGTCTTCGGAAGTATTGTGGGACTGGGGAGCGTCCTGCGTGCAGTGATCTCAACCACTAGCGTTGTGCTCACCTGCTGTTTCTATGCCATGGGGTTAAGTCCTATTCCCAGCATTCTCTGCGCCGAGATCTTCCCAACACGGGTTTGAGGCATCTGCATTTCCATATGCTCCCTTGTTTACTGGATTTCTTCCATAATCGTCGCATATTCACTACCGGTGTTGCTCAAATCCATAGGTCTTACCGGTGTCTTTGGGGTGTTGGCAAGTGTTTGTGTTTGTCTTCTTAAAAGTTCCAGAAACCAAAGGCATGCCTCTTGAAGTCATCACATAATTCTTTGCTGTTGGTTCAAAGCAGGTTAAGAATAACTGAGTTATTGAGTTGAAGTTTTGATCTTCCCTCGTATTCTTTTTTCCAAGTATTGTATGTCTTTGCTACGGCATAATGTAAAGACCATAAAGATTTGGTTATATTATTTCAAGTGAAATTAGCCATGAAAATGAAGCACTTATTCATGGTATTGGCAACAATCTCTGGTTTTAATTCGTGAAACCGAAAGCAAATATTCAGACCAAAACTTGAGATCATGCTTTCGATTATCATCTGGGAACACTGTCAACGAGTCTAGTACCCATTCTATCAAGCCTTTTAACCATTGCCACCAATCTCAAATTCCCCTCTCCTATAAAACCTTCTACCGATCTAATTCATCTTCATGTTAATGCACATCTCGACACATTAACTGACATAAAAATTCTAACCAAATCACATCAATTCAACTGGCGAACAGACGATTTTTTATTCAACTAACCAAGATGAATCACCATTGGAGTCCTGTGTCATTCATAAACTCGAATAACTACTACCAACAAGTATTTAGGGGTTTCAAAACAATCATGCCACATTGCAAATCAAATCAGTCTCAATATCCATGCATGAAGTATAATCATCCTTAAAACCTCTAGAAACCAAATAACACATACAGCAATAAAAGAATGATTTCCAACGGCACACTGCTCTGTGTTGATTCCTTGAGAACCTTTCTATGGCTTTCTATATTAAATTACATGTTTTACATGGCTTTATTTCAGTCAAAAATCCTCTCCCCCGTCGAGAATAGCAAGAACACGAAAGAACTAAGTATGCACAACAATCCCGGAATGAAAAAGACTGCTCTCCAGCTTTCAGGACTCAAAAGATCTGAATATTCGATTTTAGCCGCTTCGAGAAGCCGTCCGGTCATATCAACTCCGATAATCCCAGATAGAGTACCGGATGTATTCGAGACCCCCACCATGATTCCTGCATATCTGGGTGCAATATCCATATGGTTCACTGCAAAGCCAGCTCTCCCAAGTGCCAAGAAGCCGAGTGCCACTGAAGAACATAGAATAGCTCCACCGGATGTTCTGAAGATTGGGAGTGCCATCAGTGCAAGCGAAGCGACTATAAATCCTACGGTGTTCAAGAGCTTCCTCGTTTTAGTCACAGACATTTTTCTTTTGGTGATCAAGTCGTCAGCAACAACCCCGCCGATATTTGAGAACACAAACATGTTTAAATAGGGCATCATCTTGGAAGAACCCATTTCCTGAAGGCTGAGCTGAAGGCCCTGCTCGAAGTATGTTGGTAGCCAGTTCATCAATACATATAGAGCATAATGGAATGTGAAATTGTTTACCACAATTGCCCAAACTGGCTTGCTGAATAAAATTCTCTTCCATGGAATTTTGGCGGTTTTCCCTCCTTTCTCGAGTTTTGTCTTCTGACTTGCATCGGTAGGTAACAAAGATTCTCCAAAACCAGCGGCGGCGGCTTTCGGATGCTCCGATCGAGGGGGGTCGGTTGCATACTCAAACCAAAGCAAAGACCACAGGACACCTAATGCTGCTTCTGCAAGAAATACAGATTGGGGACCTTTGAACTTCACCAGGCTGGGAAGGACAAGCATCCCCATGGCTGCACCTAGGTACATCCCGGATGTTGTAAGTGAAACGGATCTCGATCTCTCATGTGGCGGAACCCACTGTGCTAGGACAGTGTGGATGGAAGGGAAGATGAAACCTTGTGCTACACCAACGAGCAACCGAGCAACGACCAAGATAGTGACTCTATCGGGATCTAGCGGTACCAAAAAACAAGTTGATGACCATAACACAAACGAGAGAAGCAGAACCTTCCTTCCCCCAATCCTTTGAGCCGCCCATCCTCCGGGAACTTGAGAAAGGGCATAGCCATAATAGAACGTGGAAAGTATCGTGCCTTTGTTTGACTGGTTTATCCCGGCAGCATCGGCCGCAACAGTGTAAGCTATAGAGAATCCGACACGTTCTATGTAACAAACACATGTGCTAACGAAGGTTAAAATAACAATCAAGTATCGCTTTGGGAACTTCATTAAATTCATAATTCGCTCTTCCTAAGTTTCTTCAAGACTTGTCCAGACCTTGTAGATATTACTAATGCCTGGAAGGAAAAAAAATACCCAAATCTTATAAATGCAGTATAAAAACACACCATCGAATCAACCAGCAAGATCTAAACGTTAACTAGACATTATTTCAATTAGTGAAATTCTATCTATGTGATTCACTAACTTCTTGGGGATGAATCAAACATGGAAATGGTCCATTATATCAGAAATATAAGAGATAATATCAGAAATGACTATGTCAATTGATATACAAACAAAAGCTCATTATAACAATGGTTAACGGATTGTTGCAGCACAACAGAATGAAGATCTAGCAAACTGCAAGAGTTTAACAACGTTAAACCATTTTCTTTTATCAATTATCTACCAGATGAATCAACTGATCCACGAACTAACAAATTCAAAAAAGAAAAAACAGAACAGATACAGGAAGAAATGATCATTCCCGATCTCTAGATGTGAAAGGGGATCAAACAGCTGAGTTCGGTTTTATTTCCCTCAGAAATCTCAGGAAATGGAACTCAAAAGGGAAGATTGAACAAAACAGAGAGAAACGTAACCCCAACGAAGGAAGAAGCAGAAAGAAGAGAACATACCTTGGGATTGTTTGGGGATCCATCCAAGAGACAGAAGCAAAATGTTTCATATGAGTGTCAAACACATAAGGACATTGATTGAAAGAAAAAAAAAAGCTTATGAACAAAAGAGAAAAGAACCCAGAGAGAGAGAGAAAAGAAGAAGAGGAGGAAGTCAAAGGTGAGTTTTTTTTTTTTTTTGTTTTCTCCCTCTTTCTTTTCCTCATAAATCACATATAATATGCACTCTCCCTTAACTGTGTCAAACATTAAATTTTATATAATAAAAAAAGAGTTTTCTACTTGCAAAATCCAACTTCCAAACTTGCGCAATTTAATTTGAAACAGCTCACATCTCAGCTCAATGTTCAAAGATTCAGTTTCGAAACGCTGTCGTTAGAAACATCGTTATCTTCGCATGTACATTGCAAAGGAAATGCTTTACTCCTGATTTATAGTGTCATTTTCCTTTTCCTTATGTAATTAGTAATTAGTAATTGATTTGAACGTCTTACCCCAAGATTCTAAATCATTAAAACGCCGTACCAACCTGCTTTTGCCCCACATCCAATCTTTAATTCCATTATAAAACAATGAGAGATTAACCACAAAAAATTATCACCGAATCAGTTAAAAAGGAAAGTTTGTGTGTCTCGTTAATGATTAAAAAAAATATTATGATTATATATTACCAAGTTATTTAGTGATAATTTTGTAACTTTTAAAAGTTAAGTGCACAAAATGATCATTTAAGCATAATTAAGTGACTTATAAATCTATGGTATACCTTAACTTATTTAATTCGATTCAAATTTTAATAATAATATTCAAATAATCTATTAATACAAACAAATATAAACTTCAAAACAAATCTTCATATTCAAATAATTAAGAAAATATATATAATTAATCCAATGTCATCCCTAAAAATACATAACAGTGAACAATTTAATATAAACAACAAAAGGTCAACAACATGGTAGTATGTCCAAATGGTATGTGTCACATTTCAATTTTAAATACTCATTTAAGTTGTTTTAAAATTTTAGTACCGTTTTGGGTTTTTATTTAATTTCCAAGACCTATAGCATAGTTTATCCAATTTTTAGGACAGTTTGAACTCGTACTCTTTTTTTCCCTTTGTTAAGCCGTTTCCCCCACTTTCATCTCTCTATCTCTCTCGTTTTCTCTCTCCACCATCACTCTCATTCAATTTTTCTTTATTCTGTCAACACTCAAGCCGTCATAACTCTCATCGTCGGCGCTATTGTGTTCATTTCGTCGTTGTTCGCTCGGTACCTTCAATTTGTCGTTTCCGTTAGTGTCAAGTGAGGGAGTTTAGTTTTTGGTTTTCAAAAAATCAATTCCGTCGCAAATCGACCCAGATAAGTACTTCCTCGTGCATTAAAATGTAATTCTACAAATTATGGTATTTTTCCGATCACCAAAAACCTGTCCACACACCCACGCACCATTGTGCACGTGTGGAACTACTCTGGGCGGTTTTAATTGCAAAACCGGTTGAACCAATTTACTTCTAGACCGAACTTACTGGATCAGTCGACCGACCCGACTCGTTGACCGTTGATTTTAACCGTTGACTTTTTTCAAAGACCCATGTATTTATGTTTTTCAATGTCTTTAATTTGTTTTGCCAGATTCTAACCTAAAAGCGATGTTTTGCGTCATTTATCGCTTGAGATCGAAATTATGTTAAGTGAATTGTGAGATTTTGAACTCACTTTTTGGTATTATTTTATTAAGGTACTCTCGTGTCTCCAGAAACTCTTTAATAAACCCTGACCACTCCCGTTTTACTTAATTCAATTACATCCACTCGTCCCGATATATGTGTAAGTTATGTTTAGTTATTTTATAGTTTATTTCTGTTTATCTGTTGATATCTATATTCATATAGGGGGTATTATTTTTAGGTCCCCACTCCTCATGACCTAATGGAACCGACTATGGGAAATGTAAGGCTTAGTCAGTGTTATTTAGCTACTATAGGTGTGTTCTCTAGATCTGTTCGATACTTTTGATGTATTATGCTATTATGTCAAATGACTCTCTAAAAGCATGTTCATAATGTGGTGACATTTATTTGTGACATTTCTGATTTCTCAATAATGTTGCATCACTCATGATCTGCATATTGATGCATTCTTGGTTCTGTATTAAATTATTTACTCATCATGATTCTACATGGGATTAATTCCCCATCCTGATTCTGCATGGGATTAATTTCCCATCCTGATTCTAAAAGGGATTAATTCCCCATCCTGTTTCTACATGGAATTATATCATCGTCATGCTTCTGTTTGGAATCCTCTTTGGAGGGCATAATCCTCATATTGATTTATGTTTCTGAATTGGATCCTCTTCATAGGAACGTCCCCATCCTGTTTATCTGTGGCGAAAGGTATAGTTTTATGTTAGTGATGTTACACTCTGATGAATAAGTTTTGATTTTACTGTTTACGCATGATTTGTGTTGTTATATATATATATATATATATTGTTATCTATTTTATCGTAAAAGACACACTGGGCTTTTTAGCTCACTATTCTAGTTTCTATATTTTCAGATCTTTTCGACTTTTAGTATTACAATCGGTACCTAGAGGATCGTTCAGTAGCTCATTTTCCTTTAAGTCATTGTATGGACTTTTTTAGACTTTATATTATTTATTTTTCGTCAATTTTATATGCACTCATATATGATTTTGGGATTTTGTATTTTACATGTTTTTGATATTTAAACTCGTATATTTTCTTTTGTTAAGGTCTAATAATTTTGAACTCGGATTTATATTGAAATTCTGAAAATGCATGTTTTATTCTAAAAGTTTCATGGTTTCTGTGAATTTGAAATATTGATGTGATCTCCAAGATTAAATCATAATGTCTAGGCCGAGTCTAAAGTGTTACATTTAGTGGTATCAGAGTTTGGGTTTAATTTTCGAACTTGTTACCCATCAAATTTTATATTGTTATGTAAAACAACAGTTTCATGCATCGAAAAACATAGGGTATGGGAAATAGTTTTTGAAATTTGTATTGAATGCAAATTTTTTTTAAATGATTTTAAACTTGTCTGTTTTTGAATATTAATATTCTAATTTAAGACTCTAATACCATATCTAACTTTAGCTTATGTGTACTTTTTTATTTTAGACTTAGTAGATAGTATGCTACCCCGTAGAAGTCAATGTCCTTCTGTACAATCCAGTAGATTTGGTGACACTCTAGGCCATAGAGGCCAAGCGATTTATTCTGATAGAGATTTATTAGTTCCTGAAGTTGAGTCATATAAGGGACGTACTAAACATACTGGGCATACATCTGCCACTGGAGGCAAATCAGTGGATGATTTAAAGGATGATGTTGTTAGTCGAGCAGTATGATGTTTACTTTAGAGATCCGTTGGAGTTCAACCAGAGGACATTGTCATTATTGTTTTGTCGATAATATTTCTAACTGAGTAGAGTATTTCAGAAGGCTTACTCGAGCATCCCCATATATTGGGGAGTACTAGATTAAGGATATCGATCATCTTCTAGATGAGATAGATTATCCGATTGTTCAGAGACTTCAAGATGTTGTTTCATTGTTGAAGGATGATGCTCTGAATTGGGTGAATTTAGTGAAGATAACTACTTCGAGAGATCAATTGACCTATGAGTTTTTTCGAAGTGCTTTTCAGAGTCGATTTTTGGGTAGTCGTTATCTGAAAGAGCGAAAACAAGAGTTTATAGATCTGAAATAGAGTGATATGACAGTTCAGGATATCTCATACTCCAAGGGGTCGTAGTCAGAGTCGACCAGTTTCATCTAGTCGTGAATTGGGTTCTTTGAGTAGGGATGATTTTCCCCAGTTAGAGGTTCTATGAGGTATGGGTCTAGGCAGTATACTCTTGTTTATGCTACGAGAAGACGTGAAGATCGTAATGAGCCAGATGTTATCATAGATACTTTAACCGTTCATTTAGGTTATTATTTTGCTTTGCTTGATAGCGGGTCTACCCATTAGTATGTTGCAATTTTCGTAGCCTATAATCTTGGCATTCCAGTTGAGCTCATTTCCTGTCATGTTACTCTTTAGTCTCCTATAGGTCAGTCTGTTGTGGTTGAAATTTTTTATAAAAACATTCCTCTCGAGCTCTGTAGAGAGATATTTCCGGTAAATCTTATGAAACTTGCGTTAGACAAGTTTGATCTTATTTTGGGTACCGATTGGTTGAAAGAACATCGAGTTAATATGAACTATGAATGCAATAAAGTAGTTTTGAAGACTTTTGATGATAGGGAGATTATTTTGATTGGTGAGTGACAGGTTTATTTGTCTAATGTTATATTAGCCATGGTAGTTGAAAAAATGATTCGGAAGGGTTTCGTAGCATACCTTGCTTATATTCTAGATTTGAGGAAGTTTACTTCTGGAATTGAACAGATTCATATGGTGAATGACTTTCCAGAGCTATTCCCGTAAGAGTTACTAGGTGTACCACCTAAGGGAGAAGTAGAGTTAGTAAATGAACTGTATTTAGGTACTGCATCAGTGTTCATGGCTTCTTATCGCATAACACCTAAGGAATTGAGGGAACTCAAGGTTCAGTTACAAGAGTTATTGGATCGAGGGTTTATTAAGCCTAGTAGCTCTCCGTGGGGAGCTCTCGTACTCTTGGTTAAGAATAATGATGGGTTTTTGCGTTTGTACATCGATTATCGGAAGCTAAATAAGCTGACGATTAAGAATAAATACCCATTACCGTGCATTGATGATTCGTTTAATCAGTTCCGTGGTGCAACTGTTTTCTCCAAGATTGATCTTCGGTATGGCTATTATCAGCTGAAGGTGAAAGATTTTAATGTTTCTAAAATGATATTTTTAGTCTCGTTATGGTCATTATGAGTTTTTAGTGATGACATTCGGGTTGACTAATGTCTCTACTGCTTTTATAGATATGATGAACGTGTATTCCAACCGTATTTGGATTAATTTTTTTTTGTTTTTATCAATGATATCTTGATTTACTCGAAGTTTGAGGTTGATCACGATGAGCATTTAAGGATTGTTCTGTAGACTTTGAAGGAAAAACAACTATATGTGAAGTTCAGTAAGTATGAATTTTGGCTTAGCG